TGGTAGAGTGCTTGCCTTGCATGCATGAGGCCCTGAGTTCGATTCCTCAAAACCACATAAGCAGAAAATCCCAGAAGTAGTGCTGTGGCTCAAGTTGTAGAGTGCTAACCTTGAGCTGAAGAGCTGAGGGATAACACCCAGGCCCAGAGTTCAAGCCCCACAACCAACAAACAACCAACAACAACAACAAAAGAATAATCTGGGCCAGATGCTGGTGACTCACACCTATAATCCTAGCTACTTATAAGGCTGAGATCTGAGGATCACAGTTCAAAACCAGCCTGGGAAGGAAAGCATGTGAGACTCTTATCTCCAATTTACCACCAGAAAACAGGAAGTGGAGCTGTGGTTCAAAGTGAAAGAGTGCTAGCCTTGAGCAAAAGAACCTGGGAACCTAGCCCTGAGTTCAAGCCCCACGACTGACCAAAAGAAAGAAATATTCAGGAAGGGAAGGATGGGCAACAAAGCTATCTCTCTTGCTTTTTCTTTTCCTTTTCTTTTTTTCTTTCTTTCTTTCTTTTTTTTTTTTTTTTTTGCTAGTCATGGTGTTTGAACTCAGGGCCTAAGCACTGTCCCTCAGCTTCTTTTGCTCAAGGCTAGCATTCTACTTCTTGAGCCACAGCACCACTTCCAGCCTTTTCTGTTTATGTGGTACTGAGGAATTGAACCCAGGGCTTCATGCATGCTAGACAAGCACTCCACCACTAAGCCACATTCCCAGCCCCAAGCTGGGTAAGTTATGATGAACAGAAATTTATTCGTCATGGTTCTGGAGGCTGGGAGGTATAAGACTGAGTAGGGGCAAAGAGAAGATATTAAGGAATCTAGTTCTTTAAGAAGCCTATTTCTAGCTGAGTGCCAGTGGTTCACACATGTAATCTTAGCTACTCAGAAGTCTGAGATCTGAGGATTGTGGTTTGAAGCCAGCATGCACAGCAAAATCCATGAGACTCTTACCAGTAATTAACCACCAAAAAGCCAGAAGTAGAGGTGTGGCTTCAGTGGTAGAGTAGCAATCTTAAGCTTAAAAAGCCAAGCAAGCGCTCAAGACCCTGAGTTCAAACCTCATTACAGGAACACAAAAAAACTTTTTTAATGCCTTTGGAGTCATTCTCCCAGTGCCTTTAATAATCATAACTAGCTTGCTTCTATGCATAATAATCTCCTACCAAAAGATCAGGTTGGGTCTTGAGCAAAAGACCTCAGGGACAGTGCCCAAGCCATAGTTTAAGCCCCACGATCAACCAAAAAGAAAAAACTCAGACTGAGTTCCACCCTTGATTTTCTCCCCAGAATACTCCTTTGATTCCTTATAGCTAGACTGGGGATTTTCCAAATCTTTATGTTCTACTTCCTTTAGTTATAAATTCCATATTTAAATCCTTTCTTATTTTTTACTATATATAGTTTAAAAACAGCCATGCAGCTCCTTCAGTATTCTGCTTAGACATTTCTTCTTCCAGATAACCAAGTTTATTCTTAATTTCTTCCTTCCATGAAGCCCTAGGATATGGACACAACTCATTCAAACCTTTTGCCACTTTATACCAAGAATGGCCTGTATTCTGGTTTCTACTGACAGGTTCTTTATTTCCATTGGAGACCTCATCAGAACTGCTTTTCTTTTTTTTGGGGGGGGGCGGGGAGGAGTCTGGTCGTGGGGCCTGAACTCTGGGCCTGGGTGCTGTCCCTCAGCTCTTCAGCTCAAGACTAGCACTCTACCACTTGAGCCACAGCGCCACTTCCGGCTTTTTCTGCTTATGTGGTGCTAAGGAATTGAACCCAAGGCCTCATGCATGCGAGGCACTCTACCACTGAGCCACCTTCCCAGCCCCTCAGAACTGCTTTTCTTATCCATATTTCTACCACATTCTAATCAATAGCACTAAGTAATCTCTAAGAAGAGTCAGAGTCTTCCCTCCTCTATTCCTTGCCCAGATTCAGAGCCCTGCTATATTATCAGGTATGTATTATAGAAATGTCTCATTCTCATTACCGACTGAATTAATCCATTCTTCACTGCTACAAAAGAATATTACCAGATGAGTGAATTGTTAGTTTTTTTAAAAAAAATTTATTACAAAAGTGATGCACAGAGAGGTTACAGTTATATAAGTCAGGTAATGAGTACATTTCTTTTTGGATAATGTCACTCCTTCAAAATTGGTTATTTGTAATGGACATATTAGCTCATGGTTTGGAAGTGTAAGATCAAAGGAGGGAATAGCCACATCTAGAGATGGCCTGCTTGCTGCATCATTCTATGGCAGAAGGGTAAAGAGAAGACAAGGGAAGTGTGAAATGTATAAAAAAACAAACAAACAAAAAAGACAAAAGAAACACACAAATCAGCCATTCCCAAGACAAGGACATTAGTTCCTTATAAGAGGGATTTGATCGCTGTAACCCAAATGTCTCCCATTAGAGCCCCACCTCCCAACACCACCACATTGGGAGCCAAGCTAGTGGTGAGCCTGTAGCCCCAGCTACTCGAGGCTGAGAAAGGAGACTTTTTTTTTTTTTTTTGCCAGTCCTGGGCACTGTCCCTGAGCTTCTTTTGTTCAAGGCTAGCACTCTACCACTTGAGCCACAGTATCACTTTCAGCTTTTTCTGTTTATTTGGTACTGAGGAATTGAACCCAGGGCTTCATGTATGCTAGACAAGCATACATTTCCAACCCCAGAAGATTTTGTTTGTTTTTGTCAGTTGTGGGGCTTGAACACAGGACCCTGTCCATTAGCCTTTTTTTTTCTTTTTTCTTTTTCTTTTTGCCAGTCATGGGACTTGAACTCAGGGCCTGGGCACTGTCGCTGAACTTCTTTTGCTCAATGTTAGCACCCTACCATTTGGGCCACAGTACCAATTCTAGTTTTTTCTGTTTATGTGGTACTGAGGCATTGAACCTGAGCACATTCCCAGCCCTCCTTTTTGTTCAAGGCTAGCACTCTACCACTTTGAACCACAGCTCCACTTCCTATTTCTGGTGGTTAATTGGAGAGAAGAGTCTCATGAACTTTCCTGCCCAGGCTGGCTTCAAACTGTAATCCTCAAATCTCAGCCTCCTGAGCAGCTAGGGTTATAGGCAGAAGCCACTAGCACCCAGCAGAAAGATCATTTTTTTTGTATGTATGTTTGTGGTACTGGAAATCAAACCCAGAGTCTCCCATATGACAAGAGCTCTACCACTTGAACCGTGACATTTTGTTGATATACATTTTTTGTTCAAGACTGAGACTTGAACTGGGTATCTGATGCTTTTGCTTATTGACTGGTGCTCTACCACCTAACCCACACCTCTACCCCCCCCCTTTTGTTGATATTTTGCTTTGGAGATGGGGTTCACTACGTTTTCCCAGGTTGGCCTTGAATTTTCAATCCTCCTGCCTCCTGTAGCTGGATTTACAGGCTGTGAGTCATTACACTTGGCCAAGAGGATTGGCTCTGAGCTCACCAGTTCCAGGCCAGACTGGGCAACATTGTGAGACCTTGTTTCAAAACAAACAGACATCCTAGCTCTTCAGGAGGCTGATCAGAGGATCAAAGTTCAAAGTCAACACAGGCATAAAAGTCTGTGAGTTTCTGATCTGCAATTAACCAGCAAAAAGCCAGAAGTGAAGTTGTAACTCAAGTGGTAGGTCACCAGCCTTGAGCAAAGAAACCAAGTGAGAGGCGAGGCCCTGAGTTCAAGTCCTAGCATTAGCGCCAAACGTATTAAGACCAAAACAAAACAAAACAAAACCTTATTGGGGATTACGTTTCCAACCCATGAACTTTAGAAGGCACATTCAAATTATAGCAAATAAAAGTGATAGGAATTCAGTTATGCTGAGGATAGAGGGCATCAGGGGAAAATGACACAAGGCTGAGATGATGGGCTTTTTTATGTCCACAGGCCTCTCCAACATCAACCAGATTCGTCTTGATTTCCACTTCCCTGACAGAAATTCTGGTGGCATGGAGATCCAGCAGGCTAGCCTCATGCTCTTTATGCAACTCCCTCCCAACAGTACCTGCACTGTGAATGTGAAGGTCCTCATGCTAAGACCACATGACACCAACCTCACCTTGATTGCGCAGCACCTGCTGGAGGTGGATGCCAGTGGCTGGCACCAGATCTTCCTGGGGCCTGAAGCTCAGGCTGCCTGCAGCCAGGGACACCTTACCTTGCAGCTGGTACCTGAAGGCCAGAGAGCCCACAGATCAGACATCCTGGGTGGGACTTCTCATAGGCCTTTTGTGGTAGCCCGGGTAAGAGTTGGGGGCAAGCACCGGGTTCGCCGACGAGGTATCGACTGCCAGGGTGGATCCAGGATGTGCTGTCGACAGGAGTTCTTTGTAGACTTCCGTGAGATTGGCTGGCAGGACTGGATCATTCAGCCTGAGGGCTACGCAATGAACTTCTGCACAGGACAGTGCCCACTCCACGTGGCGGGCATGCCTGGCATTGCTGCATCCTTCCACACCGCAGTGTTCAATCTGCTCAAAGCTAATGCAGCTGCGGGCACCGCCAGAGGGGGTTCGTGCTGTGTGCCCACAATCCGACGTCCCCTGTCTCTGCTCTACTATGACAAGGACAGCAATATTGTCAAAACTGACATACCCGACATGGTGGTAGAGGCCTGTGGATGCAGTTAGCATAGGTGTGGAATAGGGAGTCCATGGAGGGAAGAAGGGGGAAGCTGGGCAAGTGTTCTCTCACACAGATAGCCTTCCTTAAGAGAAAAAAATTATACCATTTCTGCCTCTGTCCTGGTTCTTGACTCTCTCTTCCTGAGCCACCTATAAAAATTACTCAACCTTTGAGTTTACATCAAAATGGAGTCACTGCACCGCCTTCATGACGACTGGTCCTTCTCCTAGAACACAGTTTATCCAGTGTGCCACCCACTTCAAGGACCTGGCCCACCTCCAATCACGATTGCTATCATTTGGTTCCCAAGCCTTCAACTCTACAATCTACTGTCCTCTCTGCTCTTTCCGCCTGATGGTCCTCACTCCAGGATGAGTTGACCCAACCCCTTCTCCTAATTTTTCTAGGTCTCCAGAAAGCCCCTTCCTTGGATTCACCCAAGATTTTAGATAACTGCTTTCCAAAGCGAAGCTTATCCCCCTCTGTATCTTGCCCTCTCGTTGTCATTTCTCAGTCCTTCTTTGCCCTGCTCTCTGCCCTTGGGGCTGTGGCACCTGGGCCACATCACCCTGCCCTCTGCCTTCCTGTTAGATATGACTAAGCAAAGAGTCAGCCAAAGACCCAAGTATAGGATGGTACAGACTTCAGAATAGTTGCCATTCCCACTCCCCGTTGCTTTTGTACCATAATTCTGTGTAACTATGGCTGTGTCCATGGAGCCAGATGTGACTCCAGTGGTGCCTTGATTCTGGCATCACTGCTTCAACATTAGGTGTCTTAACACTTCTCCCCATTTTTAATCTCTCGTACTTCAATATTCCTTTTGTTGGTTCTCTTACTCTGCCTCCTCCTCTTTAAATACTTCCTTTCACTAAATTGTCTTGATGAAAAGATTCTAGACAGCTCATGTGGACACTCAATTTCCTGCCAGGACCCTAACTAGATGGGTCTTCTGTCTCCTATTAGGATACCTTAAATGACTGGAGCCTGCCTGCCCACTCTGCTCTGTCTTCACCTGGACTCTTCTGGGTTTATGTGGTATATCCATCTCATACTTCATGTCTTTCCTTCAGGCTGCTCCTCTCCTTCCTTAGGCTCTCTCCATACTCCCAGAACCATATATTGAGGGTATCATGGCTAATAAAGAGCTACATGTTGCTGGGTTAGCTCATGCCTATTCTTAGCTACTGAAGAGACTGAGATCTGAAGATCATGATTCGAAGCTAACCTGAGCAGAAAAGTCTGTGAGACTCTTTGTTTTCTTTTAATTTTTTATTGTTCTTATAAAGGTGATGTAAGCCAGATACTGGTGGCTCACATTGTAATCCTAGCTACTCAAGAAGCTGAAATCTGAGAATTGTGCTTAGAAGCCAGCCTCGGCAGGAAAGTCTATGAGATTCTTACCTCAAAAAAGCCAAAAGTGATGCTGTCGCTCAAATGGTAGAGTGCCTTCCTTAAGCAAAAGAAACTCAAGGACAGAGCCCAGGCCCAGAGTTTAAACCCCAGGACCTGCAAAAAAAATAATAATAATAAGATAAAATAAAATAAAAATAAATAAATAAAGGTGATATAAAAAGGGGTCACAGTTACAGGTAAACAGTATATTTCTTTTTGGATGATGTCACCCCTTCCCTCTCTCTGTAAGATGTTTTTTTTTGTTGGTCATGGGGCTTGAACTCAGGGCCTGGGTGCTGTCCTTGAGCTTTTATGCTCAAAGCTAGCACTCTAAAGGCTGGGAAGGTGGCTCAGTGGTAGAGCGCTTGCCTTGCATGCATGAGGCCCTGGGTTCAATTCCTCAGCAGCACATAAGCAGGAAAAGCCGGAAGTGGTGTTGTGGCTCAAGTGCTACAGCACTTGCCTTGAGCTAAAGAGATGAGGGACAGTGCCCAGGCCGAGTTCAGGCCCCATGACTGCAAAAAAAGAAAGAAAGAAAGAGAAAAAAGAAAAAAGCTAGCACTCCACCACTTTGAGCCATGGAGCCACTTCTGGTTTTCTGGTGGTTAGAGATGAGAGTACCACAGACTTTGCTGCCCAGGCTGGCTTTGAACCACAATCCTGAGACTGCAGCCTCATGAGTAGCCAGGATTACAAGCCTAAACCACCGGTACCCAGCTATAAGATTCTTTTTTTTTGGGGGGGGGGTCCGGTCGTGGGGCCTGAACTCTGGGCCTGGGTGCTGTCCCTCAGCTTTTCAGCTCAAGGCTAATGCTCTAACACTTGAGCCACAGTGCCACTTCTGGCTTTTTTCTTTATGTGGTGCTGAGGAATCGAACCCAGGGCCTCAGGCATATAAAGCAAATGCTCTGCCACTAAGCCACCTTCCCAGCCCCCCAGTTATAAGATTCTTATCTCCAATTAATCACCGCAAAAGCCAGAAGTGGAGCTGTGGCTTAAGTGGTAGAACACTGGCCTTGAGCAAAAAGAACTCAGGGACAGCATCTAGGCTCTGCGTTCAAGCCCCAGGACTCGGGGGGGGGGGGGGGGGGAGTGAGAGAGAGAGAGAGAGAGAGAATGAACTAGGTGTTGTTGCTCTTTACCTCTCTGTACTCAGTCCAAGAGGTGACACAGATCAGATTATCAATTAAGCCAACAGTCTGTGGGCATACACGTGGCAAGAGGCAGACACATGCTTAGAACTGGCTGCCAGAATCTTTGCTTTGCCTTCCTTTCCTTCCTTTCATCCAACCTCATGACTCAATCCAAGAGTCCTGCCTGGAGGCTTGCATGGGATAGGAGGAAGAGGAAGGCCTGCATTGAAGAGAAAAGTAGCATTTACTCTTGAGACCCGGTTCTCTTTAGACCTTTGCCCTCTTTCCCCACCACCCTCTCCCTGTGACTGGCAGCCCTCAACCATGGGGTCGATACCGTCTGCAGCCCAAGGTCGAGTTTGCGCAAAACTCATATGTCCTTTGGGGAACGTGATGTCTGTGTTTGCTCAGTTTATAACTCCTCCCCTCTCCCCCAACCCCTGACCAGGGTAAGCAGTCTCTGGAAGGGGAATACTAGAGGAGAAAGTCTGAGAGGGACCTCCTAGGGGACTGCAAGCCTGGTCTGAGTCTTTCTTTCTTTTTTTTTTTTTTGGGTCCGGTCGTGGGGCCTGAACTCTGGGCCTGGGTGCTGTCCCTCAGCTCTTCAGCTCAAGGCTAGCGCTCTACCACTTGAGCCACAGCGCCACTTCCGGCTTTTTTTTTTCTGCTTATGTGGTGCTGAGGAATCGAACCCAGGGCCTCATGCATGCGAGGCAAACACTCTACCACTGAGCCAACTTCCCAGCCCTGGTATGAGTCTTTCTAAGCAGCCTATGGAAGTCATCCCACCTTTGATATGCAGAGACCTTGGGCTAAGGAAGTCTTCTGGTATATCTCCCTCCCCCTCCTGCCAGTGTTTCCCCATACCTTCACACCTTTCAAACCAGATTTTCACCTCATTCTCTCCAATTACAGCAGTCCCTAGCACGAAGGCTGGGGTAAGACAAAGTGAGACCCTTTATGCACAAAATGGTAAGAATACGAAACAAAAATCCATCAAGTAATGTTTTAATGTAATATTGTCAAACATCAAAATAAATGCAAAAAATCCATGATGAACAAACAGTATATTTTTAAATATACACAGTATCCATATCATTCCATTTCTCTTTTGGCTCTGCTGTTTGAAAAAAGAAGAAAGAATGTCTTCTTCCAGACATTTTTCTTCCTAGCCCCTACCTCTAGACTCTTTCAGACTGCTCGCATTTTGGCATGATAAACACTCCTGATTCTTCTATATCTTTACCCATTCCCAAGCCTGCCGCTAAACCCCCAGCCCCCAATCAGGTTGGTGGTAGGGCGGACAGTGAGGCAGATGGCTGGGGTATTTATAACCTGGGAGCACTTCTCGGGAAAAGTGACTAAGATGCTAAGAGCATATTTATAGCTAACTTCTGACGTAAGTGTTGGGGGGGGGCCGGTAGAGCCAGGCCAGGCGCAGCAGCTAGGGGGTGGAAAGAGCTGGAAATTGGGGGCACCTTACAGAGAGGGTGTGGGAGAGGTGGAGTCAGTGACTCCACAGCCATTTCTTGCTACTTCTGGCACCAACAGATAAGCCCTCCTAGACACCACCATGGGCAACTGCAGTCTCATACTCTAGATTCCAGGGGCAAGAGGGCTGTCACTCACCTGCAGTGACAACAGATAGGAAGCTGAGAACTGGGGCCAGGACTAGCCAGAGGACTTGCTATGTTTCAGAGCTTGGAGAGAAATGCAGGGTGGACACGAACCTCTAAACCTCATCATAGCCTCCCCCCGCCCACCACATGGTACCCTGAATTTCTAGGAAGAGCCTGGCACGCATCATGGAGCTCTCATTGCCACGTGTCAGTGTGATGAGGTCCAAACCAAAGGTAGCAGTGATGTGGTCCTGAGCAGCCTCGGCTCTCTGGTTCCTCCTTGACACCTGTGGGGAGGCAGGATACTCAGAGTGACATGATGAGGCACACTCCCTATTTTTCCACTGTCCAAGCAGCCTCTTCCTGTCCCTCCCGCACCTGCTCTGGTCAGCAAACAGCTAGCTACTGTCCAGTGGCACAGCACTGCCACATGGTGGACACTAGTAGTACTGAAGCCCAGCCCTCAACGATGAATCCCTCCCCCCTCCCCCGTCCAGATCTAGCAAACTCTCCATCAGCTAAATAGGGGGGAAATGAAGACACACAGAGAGACACACTTCCAAATCACACTCTCTTCCCCCATTGTTTTCTCCTGCCATTTTTTCCTTCCAGCTTCTGGAAGAAACCCAGATCCAAAGGAGATAAACTAGCCTGATGCCCATCTTATGTTCAAATTGGAGGGTCCTTCCCTGCCCGATATATCTGTAGTCTTCACTATTGAAGAGGTTGAGGTTGGAAAAAAAGAAAAAGAAAATCAGGGAGGAAGCATGGTAAGGAGATCTGGAATTAGGAACCACCGTTGGTATAGTCTCCTTGCTTGGTTCTCAAAATCCCTTAAAACTTCCACGCCCCAATCCCCTCCCCTACCCCTACCCCACCCCTTAACAGAGGCCTGGCACCACATTTAAAATGCCTCAAATTTAGGCAGCTCTTACAATGCCTTCCAAGAGAAGCAGGAACCTGGCCCTCCCAAGTCCCATGCCATCCTGCCAGCCTGAATGGACTCTGCCCTGCTGTCAGATTGCATCACTACCCCCTCCACCTTTCTGGGTTTCCCCAGACATCACAGTAGTATGTACCCAATCCCTTGCTCTGGCCTTCCTCCACCTTATGCTCCAGTCCAACTGGACTCTGGGCAGCCAGCAGAGGCAGGGTCAGGGGGTGACTTCTGTGTCCCGTGGCACTGCTACCTTGGCCTGAGCACCCCCCTCACATCCACCCCTCACTCCTGTCTCAGCTCCAGTGCTTGAAACAGAGAACAGAATTCTCCTTCTGGTCCACAGACCTGAGAGAGAGAACCACTGGAACCCACTGCTGGCCTTATGATAATCACTGCAGCAGTGGGGGAAAAACTAGGAAGACTGCATATATGAGGGGAACTGCCCTTCCCCAACTGGCTCATATGGAGTCCCTCCTAACTCCCAGATCTTGGGAAATGAGTGTGTGAAATCATCTCCTTTCTTGCATCATGCATGTCCACATTGCCCCCTCATGCCCCCACTTCAAGCCACCACAGCCAGATGGTGAAACCTGAGCCCCAGGAGGGGACCTCCACCCCCCACAGGGGCTTGATGGGCAGCACAGTCAGCCAATCCTAAGGCTCAGGGGGTAGGTCTGCTGGCTGACCACTAGGTAGGGGAGCCCCAGGAAGTTGGCTCTAAAAAGGCCCCAGGTCAGTAGCCAGTCAAGCATAGCTACTCATCAGACGATCACTTCCAGCCTTCCTGACTCCTAGGCCATAGAAGATAGGTGGCTGTACTCTTGTAAGGGGAGCTGTGGTACCATAGACAAGCAACTGAGGCAACCTGAGGCTCCTGACCCAGGGCCAAGCATCAAGAACATGGGGCTCTCTGATGTCCAGCTCTGGCCAGTGCTGCTGTGGGCACTGGTGTGGACACAGGGTGTAAGAGCTGCATGTCACTCCTGCAGGAGCCCAACACTGGAGCCTCAAGCAGAACAAGCTCTGGTCCTGGAGATAGCCAAGCAGCAAATCCTGAAGGGGCTGCACCTGACCAGTCGTCCCAAGATAAGTCATCCTCCACCCCAGGCAGCACTGACAGGAGCCCTCCAGAGACTACAGACTGGGAATATGGTTCCAGAAAATGGAGAGGAGATCATCAGCTTTGCTACAGTCACAGGTGAGTGAGGAAATAGGCAGGCAGATAGCAGACCAGGAAAGAAAAGAAGAAAGGGGAGCCTGACCAAGGAGGCAGAGGGAATAGAATGTGGCAGGAAAAAAAAAATAGAAAGAAGAAGGAAAAGGAAAAAAAAGGAAGAGCTAGAGACTGAAAATGGTGGCTAGGACTCCAGGCAGTCCCTACTTTTTCTAAAGGCAGGTGTCAGGGTGAACAGGGAGCAGGCTTGGGGAAAATCTCCTGGAGGAGCTTCACTTCTGCTCACGTTTTCCTTTTCTTTCTCTGTCTTTTGGACAGATTCCTCCACTTCAGCCTGCAGTTCCATACTCACTTTCCACCTGTCCACCCTTCAGTCCCACCACCTTTACCAAGCCCGTCTTTGGCTACACGTGGTCCCCACGCTTCCTGGCACTCTCTACCTGAGGATCTTTCAGTGGAGCCCCAGGAGGCACCAAGGATCCCGCACCCTCCTAGCTGAGCACCAAACGACTACTCCTGGCTGGCATGCCTTCACTCTGCCCCCTAGTGGCGTGAGGGGTGAAGACTCTGGCATCCTGAAACTCCAATTGGACTGCAGACCTCTAGAAGACAACAGCACAGTTGCTGGACAATCCACTCGGCTCCTGGACACAACAGGAAACCAAGGGCCCTTCCTGGAGCTGAAGATCGGAGCCAATGAGCCTAGAACAAGCAGGGCCAGAAGGAGGACCCCCACCTGTGACCCTACTACCCCTTTATGTTGTAGACGAGACCATTATGTACACTTTCAGGACCTGGGATGGGGGGACTGGATCCTGCAGCCTGATGGCTACCAACTTAATTACTGCAGTGGCCAATGCCCCCTACACCTGGCTGGCAGCCCAGGTATTGCTGCTTCTTTCCATTCTGCTGTCTTTAACCTCCTCAAAGCCAATAGTCCTTGGCCAGCAGGTACCTCCTGCTGTGTCCCTACTATCCAAAGGCCTCTCTCAATTCTCTACCTAAACCAGGATGGCAATGTGGTCAAGGTGGATGTACCTGATATGGTGGTTGAGGCCTGTGGCTGTAGCTAGCAAGAGCACCTGGGGGTTCATAATGAAGAGATCAAGATGTCCTATGCAAAAGACATCTGTATGGAGACATCAGATTTCCTGATTCACATCCCCACCCAACAGGCCACCTGGCAGTAGGACTGCTAGGTCATGGTACTTGTCCCAGTTTCTGGCCTATTTCAGGCTGGCTAGTTGGTGTGTGGGAAGCTGGGGAAAGGGTTTCCTCTAAAGGGGACAGCTTGATTTCCTACCCTAAGTCCTGTGAGAAGATAGGGGGACTGGCCGGGGTGGGAGGGAAGGAGAAGGTAGAGAAAAATTGCTGCATCTCTCCCAAGAAGAGAAAGCCCTTCAGGAGAAGGAAAAAGGAAGCAGAGGGACCAGCAGGTTTGGGACAAGACACACAGGCTGGCCAAGGGCGGGGACTTCTGAGTGCTTTGGGGGAGGGGCAAGAGGGAGATGGGTGAGATGCTAAGGGAGGGAGTTTTGGAGGCCTCAGTAAAGGGAGACAGGAAAAAAGGGATGCTGAGGTAAAGCTCTCTGGATTTCCCTAGGGGACAGGACCCACTGGGAAGACATATACTTATTCCTTCTTAATAAAAACAAGAAAGAAAATGGATAAATGTGAGTCATGAAAGGTTGAGACGATGATCTACAGAAGTGGTTCTCAAAGTGTGGTCTGGGGCCCTTCCAGGAGTTCCCATAAGTATTTTTTTTTCTGGTCATGGGGCCTGAACTCTGGGCCTGGGCGCTGTCCCTCAGCTCTTCAGCTCAAGGCTACCACTCTACCACTTGAGCCACAGTACCACTTCTGTTTTTTTCTGCTTATGTGGTGCAGAGGATTAGAACCCAGGGTCTCATGCATGCAAGGCAAGCACTCTACCACTGAGTCACCTTCCCAGCCCCTCCCATAACTATTATTATTCCACATATACTGTATTCCATAGTAATATTTATGCCCTAAATTGTACATCAAAATATTTTACATCAAAATTGTAGTGTTTTCCAGGGTGTGACATGTGATTACATCATCTTTCTGACATCATTGTTCATTGGAATGTTAACTTACAAGGAGGTTTTGTTCTTGTTTTTCTTTCAGAGCTAGGACCTCATAATATTATAGCTCAGACTAGCCTTAACCTACGTAGTATTGGAATTATAAGTGTTACCATTACTCTTGACCTGACTTTAGCTCATTCTGTGTGTGTGTGTGTGTGTGTATTCTGAGTATTTTTGTTCAAGGCTAGCACTCTGTCATTTGAGCCGCAACTCCATTTTGGCCTTTAATTGGAGATAAGAGTTTCATAGACTTTCCTGCCTGGACTGGCTTCAAACCAAAATCCCCAGATCTCAGCCTCCTGAGTTGTTAGGATTATAGGCAGGAGCCACTGAAACCTGGCTTGTGCATTTTCATGTTATTATTGTTTGTGTGTTTTAATTTTTAATACAAGCCACACAAAAAGAAATCAATAACTTTTCTTAAAACTGGGAAAGTGGCTCAGTGGTAGAGCGTTTGCCTTGCATGCCTGAGGCCCTGGGTTCAATTCCTCAAGCACCATATAAGCAAAAAGAAAAAAGCCGGAAGTGGCGCTATGGCTCAAGTGGTAATTCACTAGCCTTGAGCCGAAGAGCTGAGGGATAGCGCCCAAGCCCAGAGTTCAGGCCCATGACCGAACCCAAAAATAAATAAATAAATAAAAATAAAACTTAAAGGGCTTAAGCTTGGCACGAGTGACTCATGCCCATAATCTACTCAGGAGACTGAGATCTGAGGATTGTAGTTTGAAGCCAGTCCAGGCAGATAGTCCATGAAACTCTTTTTTGTTGTTGTTGTTGTTGGTGGTGGTGGTCGTGGGGCTTGAACTCTGGGCCTGGGCTCTGTCCCTCAGTTCTTCCGCTCAAGGTGAGTGCTCTACTGTTTGAGCCACAGCGCCACTTCCGAGTCCATGAAACTCTTATCTCCAATTTACCACCAAAAAGCTGGAAGTGGAGCTGTGACCCAAGTGTTACAATGCTAGATTTGAGTAAAAATAACTCAGGCATGCACCTTGACCTTGAGTTCAAGCCCCAGAATGGCATACACACACACACACACACACACACACACCACATACACACACAATATTTTTTTTTTTTTGCCAGTCCTGGGACGTAAACTCAGGACCTGGGCTCTGTCCCTGAGCCTCTCTGTGCTCAGGGCCAGTGCTCTACCACTTGAGCCACAGTGCCACTTCTGGCTTTTTTCTGTTTACATGGTACTGAGGAATCCAACCCAGGGGTACATGTACGCAAGACAAGCACTCTACTACTAAGCTACATTCCCAGCCCCAGACACAATCCTTTAGAAGGGACTTGAAACTAAAAAGTTTAAGGACCACCAATCTATGTTTTTATTTTGTTTTTAGGCAGTACTGGGGCAAGGGGTTGAACTCAAGTCCTCCTACTTGTTAAGCATTCTTCCACTTGAGTCATACTCAGCCTTTTTCTATTTAGTTATGTTTTTCCATAGGGTTTGGCTTTTTTTTCAAGTCTTAGACAACTACCTTCCTACCTATGGATATGTATTTGTAGCTGGGATCACAGACCTGAGCTATTATACCTAGCTTAATGATTGAGATGGGATCTCACTAAGTTTTTCCCTTGCTGGTTTCAAACTCATCTCTGCCTCTTGAGTAGCTAGGATTATAGGTGTGAACTACTATGCCAGTCTATAGTATGTTCAAAAAAAAAAGCACCTCAGGAAGAAGGAGCAAGTAGCTAGTACAGGAGCACATGTAGAATCTCTTCTTTTTCAGCGGCCATTGGTTTGGTCTGACTGAACTGGGTCACTGACCTGGATGTAACTGGTGTGTCAGTCATGTAGGTAGGCAGGCTTAAATCAGGTTCTTTATCTGTCCCCAGCCCTACAGTTACTACCTTTTTTTTTGAGGGGGGGTCCAGTTGTGGGCCCTGAACTCTGGGCCTGAGCGCTGTCCCTCAGCTCTTCAGCTCAGGGCTAGCGCTCTACCACTTGAGCCACAGTGCCACTTCCAGCTTTTTTTCTTTTTTGCTTATGTGGTGCTGAGGAGTCGAACCCAGGGCCTCAGGTATGCAAGGCAAGTGCTCTACCACTGAGCCACCTCCCCAGCCCCAGCTACTACCTTTTTAAAATCATACTTTTTATTATTATAAAGGTAATATACAGGGGTTACAGTTATGTAATGAGTACATTTCTTTTTGGACAATGTCACCCCTTCCTGCCCTCTCCCTCAGTTTTTAGCTTCACTACCTGTATTTGTAAAGTCTTCACTTTCTCCCCCAACCCTTGATCTTGTATTGAACAGTTAACCCTCTGCCCTTCCAGGTCCAGAAAGGTGGTCCTCAGAAGCAGAGCAAGGATGTGGGAGGTCTATCTGAGGGGTGACAGAAAGGAAGAGAGACTCCTTTCTCCCACCAGGCTTTCTCTTTCTTAGAAAGGTCAGAGATTGAAATACCCTCGCCCCTGCATCCCGTTGTCATGGCAACGCAAAAAATCCAGAGACCGGGCAGTCCTCTGTCAGTCACTACGCGGGGCACTAGCAGCCTCAACCGGTGTGCCCCTTGGTTTCTTTGGGCTCAGAAGAGGAGGGGCCTCCCAGAGCTCCTAATAACGACCTTTTGGCTTTGGGCCAGAATGGGTGAAGTGGGGAATCTGTCGATGCTTTTTCGGTGTGTTGGGTCCGCATCTCTTTGGCTTCCTATCAGACTCCAAGCGGGTGTCATGTACCAAGATGACCAGCAGAGGGAGCAGGAAGTCTAAAAGAGCAGAAAGCGGGCTGCTGCGAGGTGCGGCGGTGGCTGCAGTCTCCAGAACTCGGGAGATGGAGAGCCAGGCTTCCCAGAAAGGTGCTTTACACCCAACGCACCTTAGTGACCCTGCGAGCACACACCCTGGACTCAGAGCTTTGACCATCTCTCTTCTCTTCCAGAGAGTCAGACCCCTGGCCTTGGGCCACACACTCCTAACCCTTCAGCTCGGTGGGTCCCAAACCCTAAAAAAGTCCCCTACTTCTCAAGTTCCATCCCAAGAATGAGGCTGGCAGATAGCCGCAGGGCGATAGAACGCTCGGTTAACACCCAAGCAGATGATCTCTTCTCTTCAATGTTAACTTTCTTCGGTGAAGCTTTCTTCCTGCCTCTCCCGCCCGCAGGACTTTTCCTCGATGTTTTTGCTGACTGGTTGGAGGGCCGCCCCGTGGACGGTCGATCCAGGGATCCATGCCGGGATTTTATGCCCACCGGCAGCAGCGTGTTCAGCGGGGGGGGGGGGAGGAGGGAGGCAGTGTAGGGTCCCTCCAGGGAGGGGGAGGATCCTGGGGGTCTTGGGGGTGCCATAAGCTCAGCACCCCCTCTCTAGCTTCCAGCCACCCCACCTCACCTTCCAGAACGTCAGGAGGGAGGGAGAGGAGGGAGGAGAGGGGCGAGCGGCGAGCGCGGCCGCGCGCCAGCAGCTGCAGCGAGAAAAAAAGTTTTTGCAAAAGGAAAAAAAAAAAAAAGTTTGCGCTTCTTCTCGCGGGTGGTCCCGGCTTGCGGCCCGGCGGCCGGGCCCGCGGAGGGCTGGGGGCCAGGCTGGGGGTGGGGTGGCACGCAGGCTGCGCTGCGGTGGCCCTGTCGCCCCCCCTCCCCACCGCACAGCCCCCAGCCCAGGCTCCAGCCCTGGACCGCGCATCCCGAGCCCTGCGCCCAGACGGAGGTGAGAAGGGGGGGCGGACGGGGGGACCACCTGAGAGCGGTGGGGGAGGGGGCCCAGGGGATGCTCGGCTGCCCTCGGGGACTCTCCCTCGCCTAGAGGGAGACCCCGGGGCGCTGGGACGCAAGGAGGGTGGGAGGGATCGGGGTGAGGTTTTGGAAAGTTTGGACTTTTTTTCTCTCTCTCTTTTCCTGTGTGTCTCCGTTTCTTCGTTGCTCCTCGTTTCCTTCTGACAGTCTGTGTGTCTGTCTTAGGTAACCGTGGGTCTCTTTGTCTGTCTCCGCCTCTCCCACGTCTTAGAAACATCTCCCTTTCT